ATGTCCTACACATAATTTCGTCGGGGACGCTGTGTAGTTGCATTATGGTCTTAAAAGTTTCAAGGTGATCAAGTGGATCCTTCGTACCGTCAAACGTTTCAACAGATGACATTTTAAACTTCTTGGGAAGTGGGTAGTTCGTCACGTTAGGTACGAAGGGTGTGTTGGTTCGACTTACGAGGCAGTCTACTGTCTTGGGTCTCTGTGCTTTCATAGTGTTGAAAATGTCGTCTAGTTGATTTTATACCTTTTTTATTTTTTCGTCCAAGTGGTTGGGAGCTCCTTTGAAATTATGTTGGAAATGGCTTTCATGCTCCATGCTCTGGTTCTCACCCTTGTCCTCTTGGAAAAGAAAGCCCCTACCATGAGAAAAGGGAGCTAGAAGAGGAGGTGGAGGTCCCCTGTGGGGAGCTCCCCTATGAAGGGCACCCAAGGGAACTCCAAAGGGGGCGCCCAAATAGGGAGCAACAAGTTGCGGAGCTGCTTGATGTGCAGGGAGTGGAGCTGCTTGATGTGCAGGGCGTGGAACTCTTTGATGTGCAGGGCATGGAGCTCCTTGGGGTGCTCCATGTTGTGCACCTCCGTCAACAAGTTGTGGAGCTGCTTGATGTGCAAGGTGTGGAGCTCTTTTATGTCCAGGACGTGGAGCTCCTTGGGGTGCTCCATGTTGTGCACCTCCGTGGGGCTCTCCATGTTGTGCATCTTCGTGTTGTGCTCCTCCTTGAGGTCCTCCATATTATGTACCTCCGTCAACAAGTTGTGGAGCTGCTTGATGTGCAAGGTGTGGAGCTATTTTATGTCTAGGACGTGGAGCTCCTTGGGGTGCTCCATGTTGTGCACCTCCGAGTGGTGCTCCTCCTTGGGGTCCTCCATGTTGTGCACCTCCGAGTGGTGCTCCTCCTTGTCTAGCAAGTATGAGTTGCAGTAACTGTTGGTTTTGAGCAACCAGTTGTTGCATGGTCTCCAACATTTGCTAGGGATTCGGAGCTAGAGTATCAGGGACAGAGTTGGTAAGCGGGGGAGCAATCTCTTCCTCTCGTGGAGGATTGTCTTCAAGTTGGTTCATGGATCGGGTAGTGATCGCCATTAGTTCAATGGATGTAATGTTCAGGAGTGAGAATTTTGTCGTTTCCCATAGACGACGTCAAACTGATGATGCACAAAAATAATTTTGCACACCACCTGTCAAGTGTAGGTAATAAATGCAGTGAAATCAATGAGAAAATTAAAGAAGACACGATTTATAGTGGTTCGGTCAATTCGACCTACGTCCACTCTTCAATGGCTTCAGTTACCGGGTATTTTATTAATTCAAAGGTATGGAGAATAGAGATACAAGCTTTGAGAGAATGGAGAATCAAAGAAGTAGTGGTCTCCGGTCGTCGGTCTGTCCTTTGTAAGTGTTGGTGGGGCGTGACCTTCATCCTCCTCTCCTAACAGATTGGGGCTACTTTATAGCAGCTAAAAGATCATTCTTGTGGAGATCATGACTTATCCTCAATGCTACTTTATCGCAGCTAAGATATCATTCTGGTGGAGATTATGACTTATCCTCAAGGCTACTTTATAGCACAAAAAGATCATTCTGGTGGAGATCACGACTTATCCTCAACGGAAGGAGGAGGTTGGGGAGCTCTTCATGAAACGCGGTCAAAGATTGGACCGTTTCCTTCGGTGGTGCAGATAAGCTTCCCATGCTCTCCTCTTGATGACGTGCTAAGCAAAAAGTCTAACCGATCTTGAACTGTCTTGGACTTGGTGGATTCAAAATGAGGTTGGGCTCCTCAACTGGGATTGGACTTCAACACATAAATTGGACTATTTGGGCTTAACCCATCAGTACTTAAACTTAAATAAGTTTTAAAAAAAGTACTTACATCCCATTATCTCTAAAATGATTTCAATCGATTGAAACTATTGTCATTACACTGGAAAAATAAGTGCAAAAAATTCCCACATAATTGTTGAGAATTTACACGAGGAGAACTAGAAACAAAGTATCCTGGCCACTAAATCACCCTTAAATGTTTTTGGACCAAGTAAGAAAGTCATTATTCAGACATTACATCATGGAAAGTCAAACAATTATATACTTTAAAAATTTAAATCTTTGAAAAAGATATAACTTAAATATTTAAAATTTTAACAAATTCTCTCATTTGTAGATTAGATTTTAAGCCTAACATGTGAATTTTTTTTAATAATTAAGATAACAGCAAAATTCGAACACATGTCTTTTTGCTTTGATATTATGTTAAACAATTATTTATTCTAAAAACTTAAATTAATTGAGAGAATGTAATTTAAGGTGCATTTAGTAACGTTTTCGTTTTTGTGTATTTTTTAAAACAAGTTTTTGTTTTTTCTATGATAAAAATTAAAAATATAACACATGCATGGTAGTTATATATATTTAAAAAATTATAAAAACAAAAATTAAAAAACATGTTTGGTATTATACCAAAAAATCGCCATCCAATCCCTACCACCCACCCCCCATCATCGAAACCCACCACCATTATCGAAATCCACCACCACAACCCCTAAAACCCACCCCACCACCGAGATTTGAACAACATCATCATAGATCTAAAAATAAATGAAAAATTTTGTGGAGAAAAATGAACTTACCGCTTCCCAAGAGATGGAGGTTTTTGCTGAAGATGAAGGTCTTAACCGGAGTTGTAGATGTTGTTGCAGCTGGAGGAGCTTGTTCGCCGGAGTTAGAGACGTCTGTGGAGTTGGAGCTTGTTCGAAGAAATGAGTAAAATGCATTTTTCTTGGCATTTATATGGTAAGAGGAAAAAAAGATATTTTGCTATGGAGAAGGTTCGAAATTCAAACCTCATTAAATGGGGAATGTGAGTTGCCACTTGTTTGAATGTTTTCAAAAACATCATTTTAGATGTTTTTATATTTTGGCATTGTTTTCAAAATAAAACAGTAAAAAAAATAAAAACATTCACCAAATGTATTTTATTTTATTTTTTGCCACAAAATTAAAAAAAAAATGAAACATCGTGTTACCAAATGACACATTAATTATTTATATTTCATGTTTATATTTCAACATGAAACGATAAACATTTCCCAATTAGCAAAAAACAAGATTAATGAAAAACAAATGGAAGACTTAGGGCGTGTTTGGTTTGCTTTTCGAAAACTATTTTTTGTTTTCAAAAACATCCAAAACCTATTTGTTTAGCTTTTTAGTTCTTTAATTTTTGAAAAATTTTGAGAATTGAGATGTGATTTTAGAGAACAACAAAATGATATTTTATGAGTTTTCAGGGTAAAATAGAAAACAAGAAAAACAGTCCCTCTTCTTTAATGAGGTCCACCCAACAAACTTTCTTAACAGCAAAATGCATTTTTTTTGGTTGAAGTATAAAAGCCCTTACCTGCGTCTTTCTCCATCTCCACACTCTCTCTTTCTCTCACTTTGTGCAACGACACTGTCCAAATTAAACACAGGCCATTTCAAGAACTACGGCGTCTTCTCCATCCTTTCTAATGTCTTTTTTTTTCCCCTACATTTGGGTTCAAAACACAGGTGGTGGTAGTGGGTTTCAGTGGTGGTTGTAGTTTTTGGGTGAGGATTGTGGGTTTTGGGTGAGGATTGTGGGTTTTAGTGATTGTGGGTTTCGGTGGTTGTGAGTCGGTGGTGGTCTTGATGCATAGTGAAAAAGAGAGATACAGAGAGCGGTGGTCTTGATGCACAGTGAAAGAGAGAGAGAGAGAGACAGAGAGGGAAAAATTGTAGATTATTGTCCAAACAAATTTTATAATTTTTGTCCTTTAAAACAATTTTCAAAAATATATAACCAAACATGTTTTGTAATCTAAAAATTTTTAAAAATACTTTCTTAAAACTCTTCCAAAAAATAGTTTTTAGATATTGTTATTTGAGATGCAAACCAAACAGACCTTTATTCGTTTCAAACTTCAAACCAGGGTTTTGCAAAACGCCTGTTACGTAACGGTATCAGAGGCCGATGATACCGTTACATCCTGATTTAACAGTCAGAAAAATATTCACACCCGTAACGGGCGTTACGGGCCATAACGAACGTTATATCCTGTTATGCAGTCGTAACGACCGTTACACTTAAACAACCCTGGATTTTTTTATTAAAAAACCATAAAATCAAAGAACAAATGAAAGGAGGAGAATAGAGATGCGTAAATTTGATCCCTCTTCAACGACATCAACTTCTAAACCACTGCTTGACTACTTTGGGTGGAGCTTCAATTCTTACATGGATTAGCCAATGGTGGAAGAGAGAAATGAGTTTTCTGTTTAAGATAATGCTATTTGGGGCAGATGAACAACGGAGAAAAGTGGAGAAAAAGAGATAAGGGTTTAGATAATAGTTATCATGTGTGAAAAGAGTAAGTTGTTCTTGTTGTGAGATATTCTCTAAAGTGGTAGCCAGCCCAAATGAAAAAAATGGGTCTAACTTGGCCCAAGGGAGTTAACAGTCAGATTTTTTATTTTGTATTATGGTAATATTTTTCATTCTTTTAGGAATGTACATCCATAATTAAAAAGAAGATTCTACATCTCAATTGACTATGATTTCTAAATTTTTCCAAAAAAATTTAAGTAGATTGCCTTCAATTAAAAGTCACGTAAAAACTCTTATCATGTAATTATTAAATGATAAATTTATATAACATTGTTTATGATACAATAAAATTTATAAAATATCACATAAGATCTATATTTACAAAAACTTGGAGTTAAAAATGCATATATTTATTTTTGGAGAGAAGTGTGAATGAAAACAAAAAATTCACGATCTCGATTTCCGTTATTGTAATATAACGTCTATTTCATCTCACGTCCGTTACACCGTTACTATTACGATCACTGATACAGTTATTCAGAACCTTGCTTCAAACACTGCTCTTAATTGAAGAAAGAGTCATTCATACATTAGTTCATGAAATGATAAACACTTCCCAATTTGCAAAAACAAATGCAAGAGTCATTCAGTTCAGACACTGCTCTTAATGGATGAACTATATCCACTTTGATCATCCCAATATTTTGACCAAAGCATCACACCGCCATACTTGGGTGACTTTTTTATCTCCGGAAGGATCTGAGAAGTCAATACATCGGCCGGAATAAACCCACTTCCGGCAGCCTGCGGCGATGCCGGAAGTCCTAAGAAAATCCTTGTAGCATTTATTGATGTAGTCCAAGTAACCCATGAATTCTTCAGGTTATCGGTTTTGCCAGAAACATATTGGCATGGAGGATTATTGTAGAACTGTACCCAAACATAGTCGAAAAGGCCTGTGTTAAGGGCAGCGCCCATGGACCTATCAGGAAATGGACACTGTGGTGCTGCTGTTAAGTACACCTTTCTACTTCTTCCTCTTCCAACCATACTGTAACTGTAAGACTTTAAATATCGAACAAGATCATCCCAGAACTTGTTTGATCCAAGCTCTATATCAAAATCAATACCATCCAACACAGCATCGCCAAGAGGCCGAGAAGATGAGCTTCCACCCAAGAAATTTGTCCATAGATATTGTGAGATGTTTCTTGCATCAGATTTGGAAGCAAGAGAGTAACTACCAACGCCACCGCCAATGGAGAGCATCACCTTGATTCCGCTCTTCTGACAGTCGCGTATTCCGTCGCTCACGGAGGTGCAACCCTTGCCGGCGGGGTTGCAGTGGCCGGCGAGGTTGATTTCTGGGGTTTGGCCACTGCCGAATTTGTAGAGGAAGGCAACGTTGACGTATGAAAATCTTCCGGTGGCGCAGGTTTCGGAGAGATTTCCCTCGTTGCCGTTCTGACCCCAGTAGATGGCGATGCCACCGTCACCGCCACCACCAGCACCGAGACAGGTATGGAAGAGAGTTAGGGATAAGAGGGAGAGAAGGAGAGGAGTGGCTTGAGGTTTTGTAGCCATTTTTGCTTGGAATGCAATAGCTTGGCGTTCTCTTTCGGTTTTATAGAAGAAAATGAAGGTTCTATTCATATAGGAATGTAATGGCCACGACTAGTAATACTATTTTGACTGGGCGATGGTGCGCTTCGGGAAGGTGGGTGGAGGTCAACGCGGCTTGTTTTTTAGCTAATATTTAAATGATAATTATCTTCTCTTTTTTTTTTTTTTTCCTTGTGAAATTAAATTTCATTTTTTGCCTTCTATTTTCCTTTGAAATCATTTTGCTTTTAGTGAGGTTAGAGGTTTTTTTTCTGTTACCGGGTGTCCACGTTTGGGTCAATTTCTCACTTGAGCTCAATTGTTAATCACCGTAATTTAAGCTAGTTAGAACATATGTATATAAAAACATAGCAATGTTATGTATACCAAAATTCTATCCCAAATTTTAATCTCAAATCAAGAAGGACCATTGGATTTGTGAATCTCATTTAAAAAAATTGATGGGACCCACTCATGTAATAGTCTCCCTTCATTTGGGATAGAAATTTGGAAAAAATTGAACCTAATACCACCCTTAAAGGTTCGTTTATTTAGCGGAAGAATGTTAGAAAATGCAAGAAAGATAAACTTTTAAAAATTTTTATGTGTTTGATTAGAATGAAAAAAAAATGATAGAAAAATTAATTTTCTTTCATCCTTGAATTTTCTCACAAATAACTAATTTTTTTTTTTTTACAAAAAATACAAAGAAATGCAAGAAAGTTGTGATGTATAATTAACTTCTCATTTTATACTTATTTTTCTTAAAATATTTAATTGGTTATTAATTTAAAAAAAATTTGGTATGAATTTAATTAGTCACATAATTTGCCTAAAGGCCGTTGTGTTAGTGATTGTCTTAAAATTAGGTTTCGAGCCACTTTTTAAAAATTTTTTAACTTTCAATTGTAATTACATTTTTTTTCCTTTTTTAGACATATTTAATATAATTAAAGGGTAATTTAGACAATTATAAAAAATTCTTGTAACTTTACTTTCTTTCAAACAATAGAATGAAATTGTTTTAAAACTTTCCCGTAAATTTTTCATTCTAACCAAATACATGCATGAAAATATATTTTTTATCATTTTTTTTTCTTTCACTTCAATTTTTATCATTTTCACTTTCCATCATTTTTTTTCTTCCTAACCAAACAGACCATAAAGGTTTACTGAGGTTAGAGTTATAAAAAGTGTCATAGTGTTACTTAAAATATTGGGTTTGAGGTCTAAAATTAACATCTCTAAAATTGAATAGAATTGTTTATCGTTTTTCTCTTCCAGACTTTATTATTGTTGAAAACTTTGTAAACTCTTTTCATCTTTTCCTAGTCTTCTCTTAGAAAAAAAAATGCTTATAATGTATTCGAACGTAAGGATGAATTTAGAATTACACCTACGAGGGAGGGGCAACCATTTCCAAAAATTAAAAAAATTACATAATAGAATTACACATTATTTGTAGATTAATTAACTATTTCAATGCACATAGTTTGGTTCTCAAAACTTTTTTTAATCTCACAATCACACTCTATTCTCTCTAAACCTAATTTCTCGATCCATTCCTTCAAATTTCATCTAAAAGATTTGTTTATCCTTAAATTTAACTTTTGGATTCGTCCCTTTGAATCTTATATAATGTCTGAATATATTAGGTGAATCGAAACTGAGATACTTGAATAAGTGAAACTTGACTTAGCATGAAGATTAGGTTAAATGAGAACTCAATTGAATGCTGATGAGTCTAGCCAAGGTGTGTAAAGCAACAAAATGTAGCAGCATTGGTGGACCGTGCACGTCCCTTCAACTTGTAAGCGGTCAATATATGCCAACTTATAGCCAATAACCACCTATATAGTTGACAATATGATAAATCCATGGTTGAAAAATTATACATGCATGCCAACTTATAGCCAATAAGCACCTATATAGTTGACGATATGATAAATCCATGGTTGAAAAATTATACATGCATGCCAACTTATAGCCATTAAGCACCTATATAGTTGACGATATGATAAATCCATGGTTGAAAAATTATACATGCATGCCAACTTATAGCCATTAAGCACCTATATAGTTGACGATATGATAAATCCATGGTTGAAAAATTATACATGCATGCCAACTTATAGCCATTAAGCACCTATATAGTTGACGATATGATAAATCCATGGTTGAAAAATTATACATGCATGCCAACTTATAGCCATTAAGCATCTATATAGTTGACGATATGATAAATCCATGGTTGAAAAATTATGTGTTAATTGCATGAAATTCACAGCTAACTCTACATTTCGCGGTATTTCGGACGTCTTGTAAAAGTTTAAATTTGAATTTTAACATATTTTTTATTAAAATCCTATCATTCAAATTATTTTGACCAAGGAATTCTAAATCTTACATTGTCAACTAATACGGATTTTGTTGATAAACTTGACTGAATCAAACATTTAGACGGCCTCTTGAACTTATTTAGCAAATTAGGTAATGTTATTTATAGAAGGAAATTCTATAATTGCAATTAGTTTTTTTTTTAATTTTTTGGCCAGGCCATAAAATTAATTATAAGATATTGCTTGATATTTTTTTTTTCTAAAAATATATTAAGGAACGAGGAGCACCTATCATCCACTTTCGTGATAGTATTTTAAAGTAGTCATATTTATTAGAATAATATAAGTCAATAGAAAGTAAGGAAACTAGTGCAGCTATTGCGCCATGTTTCAAGCGCCGGCACCTTTTATAATGGTGGAGTTGACCCAAACACGTGTTTAAGGATTCAGATCTTCCATCATTTATATACATACATTAAGCGGATCAACCGAACCCAATTCGCAAAAAAACATATTTAGGTTGCGTTAAAATTTGACACGATATGATTAATTAATATGAATAAAATAGATTTATGTGAGATCTTAATGAGTGCGAGGGGTAAACAGGTTAATTTGTTAGACATGTTTAATAAACATGTCGTATTCGGTGTGAGTTTGATCAATACGTTTATTACTCGTTCACCGGTTTAAATAAAATTAATAATTATTTTAAAAAAAATAGCCAATTTTTTTTGTTAGTAGCAGCCACATAAAATATATAAGCCATATAAAAATACCTTTCCCTATATATCACATTTTTTTATGCTACTTTGATAGCTTTATAAAATTATATAACATTTTTAAACAAACAAATAAATTTGTTTAACTGGTGGTTTACCGTATTAACTCGGCCCTACCTAACACAACTCGTTTAAAATGAAACTAGTTAAACAAGTCACATCTTGTTACCTATTTATTATACAATTCGAGTTCATGTTGAAATTTTTTACCCGTTTATTAAACGTGTCGTGTATAGATTTACATGTCTTTCATCCGTCACCCGTTTATCCTGACACGTAATCATTTAACTCGACACGTTTGACACTCTTACTTTTAATACTTGAATTAGGCCCAGGCTAAAAAACATCAACTTGAATTAAATTCAGACAATAATACAATGTTATCATGTTCAACTTGTACAAATATAATACCCAATTTAGTTCTTATTAATTGATATCCAATTTTTTTTTAATCTCAATTAATTAATTTTTTCACTCATATTCTTGCCCCCTCTCGGATAGAATTCTGGCTCCGCCACTATCCACGAGGTTATAAAAATTTGAATTTAAGCTAACTAAATTTATAGTTCATTTTTTTTATCACTTAAACTATCCCTAAGTTTAACCTTTCATTTTCTACTTCCAGACCTTCTTTCATGTTCCCTTCGTCCATTATTGTCAATTGAGAAGTTGGCTTTAAATTTTTGTAAGCTACACAAGTATTTTTCAATTTGGAGTCGGCTAAATTAAGTAACAAATTCTGCAAGTTCTTTGACTGTCAAAGACGTGTTCTCTTGCCAAGAACAAAAACTCACATCAAACATACCAAACTTCCAACATTTTTTTAATCCTTTTGGTGTCCTCATACGAGATCGAGATTGACCAAGTAATCACCTATAATGGATCAAGTCACCGAAAACTATGAATTGTTTAATCCGCAGTCGCACAAAAGGACATTTCCCAGTTCTAGAGTTGAGGGGTTTCTACTTAGAGGAAGTTTTTGAAAATGATGCCTCCGTGGACCGAGTCTGTGATTAGGTACTAAGATCCCTGTAGCCTCATAAACCCACCTCACTAGTTAGCTGTTAATAATTTCAGTTAAAAGATCAACCAACTCTGTGCAAGTGTACATCTTCAATTCTTCATCTTGGACTCTTGGGTTCCACCAGTTTGTAACATACCAAAAGAAGCGAAAGAAATTAAATGGTTGTATCTTGCAGAAGATTTATATTTAGAAAACAGCTTACAAGTGGTAATTAGTAAACAATCTTACCTCGTTTCAAAAAAGTTAATTTTCATATTGGAAAATACGACGTATCACTTGGACAGGTGATCTCTAAGAATTCAATCCAATCTAGTCGTAAAGAGTAGCATTCTTCAATTATACTTCCTGGCATAAACAGTAGCTTGAATGATCATTGCATAGGGATTGAACTGCAGGTACCTTGATTGGTTGAACTACAGAGACAATATCCAACTTTGAACTCTCTCTCACACACACACACAAAATTGCATAGGACAATAACACTCCAACGGTCACAGATTCGCAGGCAATATTTCATGTGTCCCGCTTGCAAATTGATGAGAAATGTAGTAAAAATTGTGTCATGGACGTGGTGTGGAGAGCCAGTGATGATAATTCTAGTGGCCGTGGTAACTAGTTTTGTGGAAGCCAATCATGGCTCGCTCTTGGCTACATCAAAATAGAACCCAGCAACCAAAACGATATCTAATGTTATTTTATATTAATGTATTTATATTCGCTCTGCTCACTTTAATTTTTTTTTAAAGTAACGTCTAAACAACGGTTTGACCAGTTAAGTTCATGTGCTCATTATACGTAGAAAGGACAAGATAACTAGTGAACATTGAAAGATGATCATCA